GTGTAATTCGGTAAANCATTGGGAAGGTGCTATTCAAAGAAGGTATATGTTTCCAATCTTCTACTTCACCAATAACATTTCATTCCAATCCTTCTTTTATACGGAAAAATAATTCTTTACCAAAAAAAAAAAAAAGTCCATTTTCACCTGCGTTGTCGATTGTTTGATCTTCAATCACTGTCTTATTATGTGAAAATTTTGGGATCTATTGTGGATTAAGTCACAAACTGGAACCTTTACAGTTGAACGTTTCGTTCATGGGATAGCTCAGGAATTGATTATCTGATAATTTATAAATTTTGTCGTGCTAATAGGTGTAGTCATTCATGGAAACCTTAGCTATATATTTATATATGTAATTGCCTTCGGTTTCGATGGCATTGTATGAGTGGATTTGAAGATATTATTTGAATATTGAAATTCGAGTCTCTTACAGTTCAAACATATCATATTAAAGGAAGAAGAACGGACATAAGTACGAAACAAATTAAAAATTATATAGAATATGAAAAACGTTCTATGAATTAAGCTGAAAATAGCATTTATTTTTCCCAAAAATTTATCTTATGTAAAATAGAGCATTGAAGATTATGCGAAGAATCACTTGGCAAATTGGCCTGCAAACAAAATTGTATCGGAATTCCTAACAATTGCAAAGAGGAATGGCTGATCAGCGATGAATGGCTTAGATTCCATTAACATGCGGGGCACTATATCAATCACGGTCGCAGCCGCTGATTCTGTTCCTTTTTCATTCACCTGTAAGTAAATAACCGAATCTATGGTATTTTACTATTTCAAAAAGCTGAAGCTCATTTAAAAAATCTCGCTATATCTGATTTTGGTAATTTTCCGCCAAAATTCTTATTTCATCTAACTGTCGGAAAATCCAAAGCAGTATTCCACAATGTAGCCGTGACTGACATCGAGTTGTATCTTCCCTCCTTCATCTACATTATCTTCTTAAGGATAAAAAGGCCATTATGGCAGTATAGAGTTCTGTCTATTGATCTACCGTCTGGATCTTGTGT